GCCACGATGCCTCAAAGTAGAAGCCGATTAAAGAGGTCATTTAAAAGTCTGAAGTCTACTATATACTCGCTTCCCCTGTCTTACTTGACCAGTAAGGCCAATGTTATTCAGCATATGAATACTGTATTTCCTCACATACCACAAGCCCTCAAATAAGATGCACCCTGTTTTGGGAAGACAGAATGAAGGAAAAAAAGAAAAAGATTTTTCTAGTCATGGCTGAAAGCTGACTACATGGAACAGGGATAGTCTAACTCTTCAGCTCACTCACCCCTTCCTGGCTGCTCAGGCAAAAGCTAATTTTAACCCTCTCACAGTCACTGCCAAATTGGCACCAGCTTTTTGGCTGCTTAGCTAAAAGCTATCATCAATTCTGCCATTCCAATGAAGAAATCAACTTTCCCACTAAAGACACGTGCCCCGAACTGGAAGGACTATTTTTTGAGGGGAAAGTATGCAGTTAAATACAGTATATGGTTTTTGGATTTTTTTAATACTTGCATATCCTCTTAGGAAAAAAAACAAAACACAAAAATAAAACAAAACATCTTTGCAATTTAAAGCCTCACAATCCCAAAGCGGTCCTGACAAACTCACCTGGAAAAGGAACATTCATATCTGCATGCAACATTTCAATTAGCTGTGCAGTCTTAGACCCAGGCGCAGCACACATATCTAGAATCTAGCAAGGAAAAAAAAAAGTAAAAAAGAACATCGAAGTTTCTTAAGTTTTAGTTTTAATTTATTATAGCTTCTTGCTTAAATACGAGATGCTTTGCAGATACAAGATCATACAATTATGAAATGGACAAGTTTATTCTAACTACAACTTACATGAAATACCCCTGTTCTGCATGCATATACATACACGGGAGCATGCATCCATCAGAAATATAATTCAGTTCTCCATATGCATGAACAATTATTATTGAAGTTAAGAAAAATTGGGTATATTCATGAACCATATATTTACATTTAAGTGTTGTTATTTTTCTCATCTCAGATTGCTTTTTACCAGTAAATCCAAGATAGTTAGGCTGTAAAAGCTAGTTTGGACTCTCCCCACACATTTGTAATTAAACACAGCGAAAAGCCTCAGGTAAAAAAAAATAAATACACAAATTCTGTACTCTGGAACAAAGAGTCAGGAACACTCTCAAACTAACTGGCAGTGAACTCACTGGCAGTTAACACATTCTGGCACAGAAAACCCAAAAGAGAAAACACCTCTAGGAAAGGTACGTTGCTTCAACTCTAAAAGCTACATACTACACTCTAATACAGCAACATAAAAGCATCATGGAAATATAAGCAACTAAAATGAGCAGACACTTAAACTTTACAAAGGACATCTGCTGCTGGGAAAACTAAAGACACCTGTGGAGGAAGCAATTAAACATCTGTTTGTTTTTGCAGCTAATACTAAGACAAAGAATGAAGAGAGCAACACCAAACAACCTGGACTCCTATTAAGGCTGACCAGCAAAATGACAGCAGATGAAAATAAAGCTGCAGAACAAGGCAAAGGTTATGTAAACAACCACTGAAATTTAAAATCCAGATTTAAAATAGGGTCGTTAAGCCTTTACATAAAACAAGAGAAATAGAAAGGCTGGTAAAATGAACAGATGTTCTCTCACAACAAGCTTCTTGCATAAAAGTCTTGTATGTGTAATATCAATTAATTTGATTCCAGGTAAAATTCAGAAAGTGAGAAAGCATCTATCCTTTAATCTATTTACTCCATTAAAGATGACTAAGAAGAGTTTGGTTTGTTTAGTCTAGCTAAACAAAACTGAGAGAGACTATCACTGCTGTCTGTAAATACACCAGGGAGGAAACAGAGCTATTTAAAACTAAGGAACAATATTGGCATAAGAACAAATGGGCATAAATGGGCCATGAATAAATTCAAGATGGAAATTAGAAGATTTCCAGCTGTCAGAGGAGTGAGGCTCTGGAACAGCCTTCCAGTAGCAGCAATATAGGGGCAAATCAATTAGCTGGTTAAGATGGAGCTGAAGAAGTTATGAGTGGAACTGCTGAAAAGGGCCGCCTGCAACAGCAAAGGAGTGGCTTTGATATGGGAGGTCCATTCCAAACTTTCGTGGAACTGGCAGACCAGCCAGCATAAAACAGTGACTTAGGATTCACTCAGACACTGTTTTGCTTTGGCATGTCATCAAAGTGAGAAAGTGATGTGTGTGAAAGTAGCTCTGTTTTTAAGCAAAATGCTTAAGGAGTTGGTGGGAGCAAACCAAATCAAACATTTAAATGGAAGTATGTTTAGGTGAAAAAATATTTGACTTTTCAATACCCATAGAGAATAGTTCATCACTAGTTTGTGCACAACACACAGCATATGCTATTAAATAAAGCACCAATACAAAGGGGTGGGTTTTGCATTTTTTCTTAATTTGTCAAAACTGTTTTGTTAACTAGACCAAACTTATTTAAGTTACCTTGTGATGAGGACTAACATTAAGCAGAAGGGGAGGAATCATACTGACAGCTTCCTGGCGACTAAGATTTCCCTAAAAGAAAAGAGCACATGTATATTTTGCATTCCACTACAAAGTCATAATTTGTTTTACAATAAAATAACTTCAGTGATTTATACAAGACATCAGTACGTTCTCTTTGCTCTACGCTAATGCATACTAAAAAAAAAAAAAGTTCGATAACTCCAGCTATTACAACTGACTTTGTTACCATGTATTACAAATGTCATGGGAAATGCAAGTATCAAACACCAACTAACTGTAACACACCAGTTCACTAGTAACAAGATTCCTTATTAAACAAAAATCTCTTTCCCTTATGATTATGGATGTGCTTCAAACTTTTAAGAGGAAGAGACTAGAGAATCTGGCTTCAGTCAAGTACAGGCAAGGTAAACATTTCATGATTCCCCTTTAATTTAAATCCTAATGCTTATAAATCTTCTATTATACTCAAGAAAGCCCTGCCAGACATTTCCAAAAGCTCCATTTCTGAATGATGACTCAACCTCAGCCATTCTAAGCCTTGCCTATAATGCCAGTTAAGTCCTGGCTTCAGCATGTGCTCAAGCTCACACCTGTCTAGAATTCCTACTTCAAACTTCCAAGCTTGCCCCGCGGTAGCACTTCCATCTGCACTGGAAGCCCTTCTGAAGCTCTGAGACCCAGCATGCCCATCCTGTCTCCTTGTTTCTAGCCCCCAAGTCCCCCTCCCTGCAGTATAGTTCTAGAAAGCATGCCCTGCAGGACAATTCATCAGTATATCCTCCAGTTCCTAATCCATAATTCTCTCTCTGGCCTTTCTATAACTCCCCTTTTCTTGACTGCTCAGCCAGAGCCTGGACTGCCTCACACCCCGCTGCCAAAAAGGGACAAGAAAACCTATACACCAGCTAAGTACGCAGAAGCATGCTGCACAGTACATGCAGTAGTAACAATTCACTATACAAATGTTGTGGACAGAAGGGATGAATTCAAGCAAAACCTAAAATGTTGGGGGCAGCCATACCCGTAGATGCTTAACTCAGTATCTGACCTCAGGGGAGGGGGAAGGGGATGGAAATCAGGCCCTCAAGGCATTTTTAGTTGGGCAACCAAAAAGAGGTACTGGTCTCTTAAAATTAAGGCCAGGGGTTGTCAACCAGGGGTACTTGGAAAAGCACAGGCAGTCAGGGATGCAGCATTGCCACCCACCTCGTGCTGCCACCTCCCAGAAGCAGAGCTGGGGGTGGGGGAGGCAGTGGCTTCCCTCTGTGGGCCACACAGGCACCACCCAGATGCTAGGAGAGGCAGGGGGGAGCTCACTCACACACAGCGGCAGCCACCATCCACCATCCCACACAAAGCCCCACCCCCATGTCCAGCAAATGCCACCAAAAGGGGTACACTCCTTAAAAAAGGTTGAAAACCTCTAATTTAGGCCAAGGGTATGTGATAATCATTGCTATGTTCTGGTCCTGTGAGATGAACCATTGTCCACAACAGTTAAGAATAAAATCAAATATAGCTGAAAAAAGATCAAAAATGATATTAACTTAGCTCTTCAGAGATTATAGACCAGACTGAGCACCATATAAACTGCCCAATATGAGACGTTCTAGTTCTAAAGAGAAAAGTTAGCTCAGGATACAGAAAGTTTCAGTTGTTACAACTTACACACTCTGTCTCGCTAACCAGAAACTGATGAAATTTTTCTAGTTCTGGTGACTTCCGCAAGATTTTTCTGCTCAAGTTTGTGTGCCATGCTAGCTCTTCTGGATACCTGAAGAAACAGAAGAATGTCATTTTGTGCATCTTTTATTTTAGAGTAATCCAATGTGAAAAACATTAACAATTAAAAACATTCAGTCACCTTAAAACAACTAAAAAACCATTTCAATAATTTAGTACCGATCCAATTAATAACCTGTTGAAAAAAAAAATTGTAAAGAAGGCAGAAGACACGGACAAAATAACACTCCTTATTTAACCGTCTTATGCATTTCAAGCTTCCAAACAATTCTGTTTCGGAAAAGGAATTGGAGTTGTAACAGTAGAGTTGAAACCACACCTTTGGCCCATGTCAAGAACCAACTCAGTCCCAAGAAGGAAAATCTGCAATCTTAACAGAAGAGATCATTATCGGTTCACTTTGGCACCAGCAGAAACACCACAGTAACAATAGATTTTTATGCAATGAATCTTCATACTTGCATCACTGAGACTAGTACACAACTCTGCTGTGCACCTCAGACAGTCAGAATGATAACTCAGCCCATAAAAGTTCCACTAGGCAATTTTTTGCTTGTGTTGTATGAAATAATCAAACTCATCACCAAATGCACAAAAAAAAAGTACATCCAGCAAAAAGGAAAAATGCTGACCACAGATACTTCAGATAATCCTAGACTGGAATGCTTCAAAGGAAGTTCAGTAACACTGAAGTAAAGGTCTCACTGTTCACACTTCTGAAATACAACTTGTTTGGGAATGCTGCCGTTTGAAACAATAAATAAAATGCTTTAGTTTTTAACAATGTCATAACTGTCTCTTGGGCCTTGTGAGATGGGCCCTGTGCCTGATTTGAACATATTCAAGCTATCACTTTATTGCAGGGGTGGACAATTATTTCAGCTAGAGGGCCACTTAATGAGTTTTGGTGAGCTGCTGAGGGCCGCAATGGTAGCCCTGCCCCTTGACAAGTGCCCCACCCCCTGGTCGCCATTTTGGGACCAGAAGTCCTGCCCCCTAACCCCTGACCTTTACCATGATAAAGCCCTACCCTTGCCCCTGGAAGCACTCGGGGGTTGGAGGGGGGGGTGGGGAAGGGGGATTGCCATCTTGGAACCAAAAAAACCCAAATCATATGCTAAACTCAAACATCTATACAGTCTATAAACTCACTGGGGGGGGACCAGAAGGGTTTGGGAGAGACCTTGTTTCCCCTAGTGCCCCCTAGCATAACAGGGAATAACGGCCACAAGTTGTTGGAGAGTAGGTTTAGATTAGACATCCGTAAGAACTACTTCACAGGTAGGGCGGCTAGGATCTGGAACCAACTTCCAAGGGAAGTGGTGCTGGCTCCTACCCTGGGGGTCTTTAAGAGGAGGCTTGATGCCTACCTAGCTGGGATCACTTGAGCCCAGTTTTTTCTCCTGCCCTGGCAGGGGGTCAGACTTGAAGATCTATAAGGTCCCTTCTGACCCTACTTCTATGATTCTATGATCTACTATAACATATTTTATTTCAAAACAATATTTTGTCCTGATTTATGTGTGTGTGTGTAACGTATATAGAGGTGATTGAATAATAGGTCAAAACAGTATTACTCTTATATATTGTGTGTGGAGTATGCTGGGGAGAGTGTGTGGGGGTGGGGTTGCAAGGGGATGTGGCTGTGTTGTGCGGGGTAGGGTATGTGTATATGTGGGAAGGGGGTGGGGGGTGTGAGGGAGGGTGGGGACTCCCCCACACGCCCCACCCCCATGACAGTGGCAGCAGCAGCTGCCAGCCCTCGGGGTGTTCATGACCAGCACAGGCACTGCTGCCCAACAGCACGACTCCAGCCAGTTCAGGCAGCAGGAGTGCAGACATAGGGTGGGCAGGGTGTGGGTGTGTGTGGGACAATGGGAGGCTTTGCAGACTGCCACGTGCCCCCCCACGGAGAACAGCCACTGGCGGCGGCAGCAACAGCAGGCCTCAGGCCCTTAGGGTGCTCATAGTCTGTGCAGTCACAGCTGCCAGGCGGCGCATAGCTCAACCAGTTCTGGGAGTGGCATGTGGAAGCAAGGAGTGGAGCCAGGTTGGCCCACAACATGGGGCTCATGTGCACCTCCAGGAACTTGCACACCCCCGGGGGGAAACGCTATGCAATAAAGCCAGCTAACCTTTCCTACTCCTTGCTGCCACATGCAGCTCATGGGACTCTGCCAGGAAGCAGCACCACTTCCAGCGGAGACTTGTGAGCTGCACATGGCAGCAGGGAGTGGAGCCAGGCTAGTCCATCTCTATCATGTGGGACTCACGTGCAGCTCCAGGGACTCGCGTGCCACTGGGGGGAAGCCCCGCACAATGAAGCCAGTAGCTTGGCTCCACTCCCTGATGCCATGTGCAGGTCACAAGACTCTGCTGGAAGTGGTGCTGCTTGCTGACAGAGTCCTGCGAGCCACACGTGGTGGCATGGAGTAGGAAAAGCAGCTGGCTCCATTGCACAGCACTTCCCCCTGGGGGTGTGCAAGTTCCTAGAGGTGCACGAGCCCCATGTGGCGGGCCAGCCTGGCTCCATTCCTTGCTTCCACATGCAGCTCCCAGAATGGCTGGAGCCATTTGCCGCCTGGCAGCTGTGACTGCACAGACCATGAGCACCCCAAGGGCCTGAGGCCTGCTGTTGCTGCCACTGGCAGCAGCTGTGCACTATGACAGGGGGGCACGTGTGGGGGTCTGCAAGCCCCCTCCCCCCATCATTCCTCATACCCTGCCCACCTGAGTTCCACACTCCTGCCACCCTGTCAGGCACAGGCCCTGGGCTGCGCCCTAGCGCCAGCCCCACGCTCCATGTTCCTGCCCACCTGCAGCTTCCCTACCTGGTGCCTGGAGTGAATGCTGCAGCATGGACACAGGAGAAGTCAAGGCCAGAGAAGCCGAGTAGGTCACCTGGCAGCTGCAGCAGTGGCCCCACCTGGAAGCTGCATGTGCTGGCTGGGACCAGGATCCTCCTAAGCAGGAGGGTGGGAGTGAAGCACGTAGACTGGGTACAATTACTTGGCAAGTGCCTGCAGGCTGGACGACACCACCTGGCAGGATAGATCCAGCCCGCAGACCATACATGACCTGTCCCTGCTTTATTGGGACTGGCATCAATGTAAAGATACAACCACACCACAACCTGGGACTGTTGCACTGTAAAAATAAAATGGCTGAGTGACAAATGTAGGTGAGCTGCCTGAAGAGATGGTAAGGCTTTTGGGCTAAGCAGACCATCAAATGGCCTGAGGCTGAATCAATTCAATCTTCACAGGTTAGCGTAAATTAAACCAGTAAGCAAGTGAACAGCCATTCACTTGATTCCAAAAATGCAGCCATATGCCTGCAGTGGCTCAGGCCAGAAGCCGGGAGGCACTATAGCACGCTTCCCTGCTCAGCTGGAGCTCACAGCTTGGGCCAAGGCTAGCCCACCCACCCTGCAAGGAGGGGTTTACAGGGAAGAGGAGATGCAAAGCATCCTGGGATGCTGGGGAACAGAGTTAACTTGAATCTGGAGGGAATCAGGGATAGAAGTTCAATAAACTGATTTAACCTAAATCAGTTAGGTCTGATACTTATCTTAAACCTGTTTCAGTCATTTTGCAAGTGGTTTATGTGCACTGAACTACTCTTGTATTACAGATCCAAACTGGTTTCTGAACACTTATATACCAGTTTCAATGTTAACTTTTGTCCCGAGACTCGGATAACTTTAAGTATGTTTAAGTCACTTTGCAAAGAACATATTTAAGGGATTGTTAACCTGATGTTAAAATGAACAAATGTAAAGATTTGCAGTTTTTAACAGAACAGTATTTAAATTAAGAAAAAATATTATCCTTTAAAAATATATTTGTTAGCACCCTATCAGTGTCTGCAAGGTTCTTTTCTGAAAAGGGAATGATGAAGTAAACCTATGTAGCAAAGGTGCAGTAGGGTGCACAATCTTCAAATAAAACATTTTTTTCAAGTGGGTGGTTTTACTTAAAAAAGAACAACAACATAAAATATTCAATGCTATGGGAAGCTTCATTTTGTTTATTAAAACAAATGTGACACATATAACAGCTGCTAAAACCAGTACTAATAAGCACCTTAAATTAATTTCTAATGGTAGCAACAATATGCAAAAGTAATTATTAGACTGCCTGCAGGAGTACAATACTTGATTAGCTATACCCAGCAGGATCTGGGTAGTAGGTACACTTTATTGCTACTAAGATTCCAATAGCTTTTATTTTTCAGGGGAAAATATTATCCCAGCTTACTTATGCTCCATAGCTCAACTTTTAGATCAGTTAATTCCACCACAAGTGTATGTTAACTATTAGACTGAGAAGAGTAATAGAGAAGAGGAAACTGAGCTCTTTGAAGTGATACGCTCTAAATCTACAAAGAGTTCCTTTGTTTTCCTACCAGCTTAACGGTTGTGGCACTTCAATTTTCTGACCATCCACTACTAGGTCCTGCAGCTCCTTGAAATACTTGTTCTTCAAGCAGTGGAGAATTTCATTTGCATGGCTAGGGAAAGAAAAAAGCCTATGTATGAAACTAGTCAACATCTGGGCCAATGCAGAAGACTTACCTGTTAAAACAAACAAACAAGAAAAATCAACCTGAAAGACACGACCCCATCCCAACTAATGTCATCAACAAAAATCAATGCCACTTCTATTAATTCAACTTCACCCTATCAACCAGATTTCAACATGTCACTAATTTCAATGGAAGTCCATTTTAAGCAGTCACCACTTTCTCCATTTCAGAAGTAATGAGCAAAAATAAATTTCCACAATTAATGTTTGTAAATAATCCTGAGTTAACCTTCATAACACCAGCTCACTTGCATCCAATGATTTAAGGAAGTTTCAAGCTTTAAAGTTACCCTGAATTAGTTTTAATATTTACGGCTGGAGTGTTGTTGCAGCCATGATAGTCCAGGAAATATCCAAGAGGCAAGGCTTTTTTATGAGATCTTTTACTGGACCAAGAGTTTAGTTGAGAGAACTGTTGGACAAGCTTTTGGGCATCAAATGCCCTTCCTCTCGTTGTGCCCACTGAAGAGCACTTAAATATGTGTCTGTCTTATGATCTTAGCTCAAATCTCAATTTTATTTCTCTCTTTGCATATTCCCTTATTTAGCCCATATATTTTTTATTTACCCATCCTGTACTTTCTCCAAATTAACACCACTTTATACAAGTTGCAGAACCCAAGCAAAGTTATATTCGGAATATAACCTAACTAGTACATTGCAAAGCAAAAGCACAATATACTTGGAATTCTTGTCTCACATTTAGGAAAGTTGCATGTTGAAGGGGGAGCTAGATACATTATTTAACAAAGAAAAACAATGTGGAGGTGCACTTTATTATAGGCAGAGTGGTTATTATCCCTTATTAAGGCTACCTAGCACTTCCCACTTTAAGAACCTGTTTTCAGTTATTTATAAGCTTATCAAACACGCTATGCAAAATGTTCATGCTGTATTTCTGCCTCAGTTGAATTTTGTGGGGACATTTCAACCAATGTTTCAGCTGTTTCCAAGAAGAAAAATCTGACAACCACTTTGTGTTGAAAAGCTCAGTGGGCACGTACTTGGAAGTACAGACCTGAAATACAGTAAAGGCCTGTGGACCAGGATCATGCATTTTTCTCTTCCTACAACAACTTGCCAAACTGGCGAAGTTACAGACCAGGGCCGTCCAACTGCAGCCTGCAAGGTGTTAAAATGCAGCCCACAGGCTCCTGCCCTTACTTCCCTGAGCACTCCAGCTGCTGCCACAAAGGTCTCTGGGATTTACCTCTCACTCTGGCTTTATCTTCTTGCTCCAACTCCTATGTGTATGCCATCAGAGGGCCCAGGCTACCATAATATCCTGACCACTCAGAAACTGGACAGCCCTGTTATATACCACTGGGAGGATGGAAGAGAAGAAATGCAATTTGCACATGTTCAGATTTGTAGATTTTAGCCACTAAATTTTAATGAAGGTTTTGTGCAAACTGAGCTCGCTCTGTCCCCTCAGAGCTTCTCCACATAACCAACCTTCACATATCATCCCCTCAGATCAACTGGGCATACTCCAGCCCAGGGCTGCAAAACTAGGCAGGCACAGGAACAGAGATCAAGTGATTTTTCTCCCCTGTATTTTCAAAAGCACCATTTCCACTAATCAAGCAACACAGAGAAGAAAACAAACTGACTTGAATGATGAGCTGAAAAGAACCAGATTGGAACAAGAAAGGGAACGAGGAGAAAGTCTGACTGTGATGTAAGCGTGGGAGGAGGCCAACGACGATTAGAATAAAGCATGAGATAGAGGAGGGGAGGACTGGCTGGGACAAGGCACTGAAATGGGAGAAGCCAAAGAAGTGCAGACTTGGGGCAGGTACACCAGGAGAATACAACTGAAATGAGGAACGAGGAGGAAGAGACCAGGGTGGGATCAAAGGATAAGGCATAAAGGTGTGTCCTTAAAGCAGGATCCCTTCCTTACAGCCTAGGATGGAACCCAACTGTCACCATTCCTTTGCCACCAGCAAACAACTGTGACACACACTGGTAACCTCTTTTCCCCTTCTGCAAGTGAGGTAATAGTTCACTACTGCTTCCATTTATATACCCATGTCCGAGGCAGGCATTTCAGTGGTGGATCTAAAGGTACCAACTCTGTTGTGGGACTGTGAAGCTCTTATCTGGATACCACATGATGAAATTCCTCCTTTCCCCCACCCCATAACTTCTTTGAAGATGAGATTGCACAAGCCCCCCACTATCTTACAAAGAAAAAAAGCTGTAAGGTCAAGCACTCAAAAACCCCTGCCAAAAAAACAGAAAAGGTTAGCATAAAGGATATCCATGCAATTTTGATTCAGCCCCTGTATGCATATCAGTTATATTACAACTTTTACTCACATGGCATTTTTGTGAAAGTAATTTTTTGAAATGTTTGTAAGATGCTTATATATGATAAGCACAGCACAAAAGTTGGAGACAAAATTACTAATTCTATCATCAGATCACAGTTTGAGCAGCATGCCTTACATAAGATATTGGCAGGGGGGGGGGGCACACTGAAAGATAAGGATGAGTAAAATAAACTCCTGCTCATCAAGTAAACAACATGCTTCCAATGCAGTGAGGCAGGGATCTTGTGGAGAATGCAATACATAACCCTGTAATTCCTATGGAAGGGAAATGAACTAGTTAGACTGGGAATATCAAGTACATCCACATGGAAACATCAGTCGTGTAATTACACAATGCCTCTGCAGATCTATACTGGCACAGTCTGGCTAGCACAGGGAATAACAGCAATGAAAATCCAGTTGCAGAGCTTCATACTTAGGTGTCAGCCAAAGTATAAACCCTTCAAGCAGCCTGGACCAACACTCTGGTTTCTGACACATACTGAATTGGATGCTGCTGTGTCTTCACTATTACTGTTACCCATGTTAACTAAATTACATGAACCCAGCTTTGCATTTTGTTGCAAGGATGTGCCCTTACTGAGAATGTTTTCTCTCTCTGCAATATTCACCTTGACAACCTTCTTTCTGAGTCTTGAAAGAAAATGAAAGACAGTTTAAGAGAGCAACACTCAACCTTCTAACTCCATAGGCCAGATAAGTGATGTGGGGCTGCTCTGCAGGCCATGGGGTGACCCACATGCACTGGTTTCAGCCTGCAGGCTGGAGATTGAACACTGCCAAACTAAGAATTTATTTTTTCTCCAGCAAAAAAACAAATACATAAATAGACATAGAATGTAAATGAAGTAAACAGATGCTAGGACAAAGGTCAGCAAATCCAAGCACACGTGCTACAGCATGGCATGTGAGGCCATTTTGCTCAGCACACCACAACCGGCTCAGGCTCTGGGCAACTGCCATCAGCCATGGAGCCTTACCTGTTTGCAGCAGGGAGGCTGCAAACAGCTCGGGCTCCATGACAGGCAGCAGCTGCCCAGAGCCTGGGCTGGCTGTGACAGGCAGCCAGGAAGCTGCAACCAGTATACTGGGACCCAGAGCCCCAGACCAGTGCCACGGTGGCAGCAGCTGCACACACGCTTTGGGGCAGACAGCGGAGCCAGGGGTACCACAGCCTAGAGGGAAAAGTGGCCCCAGATGCGTGAGCTTTAGGATTAGTGACAGAGGTGTGAAAAATGAAGAGCCAGATAGTAAGACAATTGTTAGATTTAAGGATCCTGGCTCAACTGCAGACCCAAGGAAGGTGGTGGGGAGGCAAGGGGTGTGGATAGGGCCCAGGGCAACAGGCACATGTCCCAGTTTTGCCAGAGCTCATGTCTTCACCTGTTTTTGTCTTGTAGGAAGGGGAATGCAACCAAGGAGGAGAATGCCTTTCCACCTGCTTTGCTCTTATTTGTGAGGGGATAGCAAAGACGGAGGGGATGGGACATACACCAGCCAGCAGGGAACAGATCCACTCCAAGGCTGAGGCTGCTGCAACTCTCAAGCCGAAGCAACAATTCTGAGAAGGCATTAAGATGCACAGGTGAAATGGTTGTGGGGGGAGGATGTAAGAGGAACACACAGCTGGAGGAAGCCAGAGGGAGTACAGGATCAATAAAACTAGCCATGGGCACCAGGGTCAGGGGAAACAGGAGCAGGGGATGCAGTTTCCCAGCTGCACTCCACCTGCTCCTCCTGGCCTGGAAACCTGTGGGAGTCGCCACTACAATTGCTGCCAGAATACACAAAACTATGGGATATAGTAAACACATTAGATGGTAGGGAGTGAATTCAGGTGGATTTAGGTAGACTGGGGAAGTGAGTGGATCAGAATAGGATTCAAAGATATGTGCAAAGTGCTGCACCTGGGGAGAAAGAATCACCAATACACCTATAGACTGGGAAGTACCATTTTAAGTAGCACAGCAGTGAAAAGGGATCTCGGAGTCATAGTTGATGCACAAATGAACACGAGTCACCAATGTGACGAGGTAACAAATAAGACTAACTGCACTCTTTCCTGAATTAATAGGTGCATCACAAGCAGGTCTAGGGAGGTGATACTTCTCTGTGTGGCATTGGTGAGGTGGCAGCTGGAGTACTGCATCCAGTTTTAGATGCTGCACTTCAAGAAGGATGTGGATAATCTGGAAAGGGTTCAAAGGAGGGCTACTCATATGGTTGAGGGCCTGCAGGTAAAATCCTTTGAAGACAGATTGAGGGACCTGAATCTCTTCAGCCTCCACAAGAGAAGGCTGAAAAGTGATCTCATGGCTGTCTACAAACTCATTGGGAGGGGGAGGAAGGGGGGTGGTCAGCAGGGAATAGGGGATACTCTGTTTACCAGGGTGCTCCTCAGGGTTACTAGAAAAAACAGCCATAAACTGAAGGAGAATAGATTTAGATTGGACATCAGGGAGAATTTCTTTATGGTGAGGATTGCTGAAATATGAATTGGGCTTCCAAGGGAGGTGGTGCTTTCCCCTACCTTGGAGGTGTTCAAAAGGAGACAAGCACCTGGCTGGGGTTACTTGACCCCAGTGCTATTGCCTGCCCAGAGCAGGGGGTTGGACTTGACAATCTAATAGGTCCCTTCCAACCCTAGAAAACTATGAAATATATGAAAGGGCAATACCCCCCACCACAAGGCTTCCTCATGAGGAAAGCCCAAAGGCACAGATGCCCACTGCAGGAGGAAATGTTGAGGTAGTCCCCGTTGCACAGGCCTGGGCAGGAAGACACGGAACTCGGACAAGACTCAACCCCTGGTCTGTCCCCACCCTTCCCCCAGAATCCGCACCTCTCTCCCCAGGAAGCGCCCTTCCTGTTCCTCTCTGCCCCGCCCATGTCTTCAGCAGAGCAGGGTCTCAGTGCTCTCTGTCTCCTTGCAGCACCATGGGCTGGCTATGCACTTAGTGCTCACCACCATGTCCACGCAGGCTCTTTGGCAGGTGGCAAGAGCCTGCCTGGGCTGCTTGCAGTAGGCAGCTGCAAGGCTGCTCTGGGCCCAGTTCAAAGCCCTGGCCCAACCTGTTGCCAGCAGTGGCTGCATGTGCACCTCAAGGCCCATGGCAGGGAAGGGGCCAGGGCTGTGCTGACACAACAAGAATCAAGCTACTCACAGCTACCCTGCCATCTGCCCCTGGGACAGCAACATCTTCCAGCTTCCCTTAGCCTGTCTGGAACCAGACAGCAACAGTGCCTATATTTCCCTGTGGTACAATGCCAGGATTGTAAATGGGCACATTCTGCTTCCTGCCAGAGGGGCCAGCAAGTGCTGCAAAGAATAAGGATGCTGAAGGACAATGCTCTCTTCCAAGAATGGCATGTCCATTCTCTCCCCCAGGACTGATTTAACTCTGGTTGGTCCCCAGATTGCTTCTCCCTGGTTCCTGCCACACGCTCAAATATAGGTCAGAAAACAACCTAGAGAGACATTACACCAGGGGTTACCAAACAGTGGATCTCGATCCACCGGTAGATCTGGGAGCCTCTTACAGTACATCCCAGGCTGGGGTGGGGGCTGAGTGCCTGCACGCATGCATGCATGCACGTGCCCCAACCCAGCTGGTCAGTCCATAGAGGAGGAAATGGGTGAGAGCTAGATCGAGGCCCCTGCAGTGAGGGTCAGTGTCGTGGCAGCAGAAGCAGGGGTAACTTGAGTGGGACCCCAGCCAGGTGGGACTTAGCTGCTGGGGAGGTGCGCCCCCAAATAATTTTTTCTCCCTCTACCTTAATATGTACCCCCCTTCCCTTCCCACAGACTTACCTGCTGGGCGAGGGGGCAGGGAAGGGGAGTAGCAGTGGCACATGGTAGATCTTGGGCTGCTTTTAAATGCCAAAGGTGATCTCCTACTGAAAAAAAGTTGGAGACCACTGGACTTCAGTGGACCCACTGAGGACTAAGAGAAAACTCTGGACCTCTTGCGTTACACCTCTTCAAGCACTAGTTTTTAAGACCGGAAAGCAGTTCTTGTAGCTGGAGAGTTGTTTTCATGGCATGACAACAACTCAGTCTAAAAGCCAATGGCGCGAAATGCCAACTAACCGTGCAGTACAAGTGACGTGCAGCAGTGGCTAGGAGAGTAAAACCCCTGCCTGTCTGCCCATGTGCACAAAGAGCACCCGCTCTCCCAGAACAACCCGAGACCATGGGGAGAAGGCCCTACACAGACCCCCACCCCGAGCGAGGGGGACCACGGGCCTTTTTGCCCCTCACAGCAGGACACTCGGACTCAGGCCTGAGCCCCTCTCACCTCTTGTAGCCCGTAATGCGGAAGGTGGCGGGGAGCGGCTCCCGCAGCGCCGCCATGAACGGCTCCCACTCGCCCTCGGGCACGATGCGCAGCGCCGCGTAGTAGCGCTCAAACAGCGCGTTCTCCTTCACGATCTCGGGGTAGCCGCCGGCCCAGCCCTGCAACAGGCCCGCCGCAAGTCAGCCGGGGGCGGGAGGCAGGCTGCGCCACCCCGCTCTCCACAGCACCACCCACCCATAACCCCCATCCTCCGCTCATCCCCGCTCACCGCCGGGTCGCGGCCCTGCCCGTCCCCGCCTCCGCCCCGCTCCCGGCGCTGCTGCTGCTGCTGCCGCCGGCGGTCGCGCTGCCTGCGGCCCATGACAGCGCAGCCCTGCACGAGCCCCGCCGCGCGCCGCAAGATAACGGTGAGGGAACGACAAGAGGCGCTAACGCCACCGCCGCGCAATACACTCAGCTGAACCACTGCGCATGCGCGACCCAGAGGGCCTCTCCTCACGAAAAGAAGGCCTCTCTAGAGGCTGCCCCGGGCCCGCCTGGTAGCAGAACCATAATCCTGGAGCTCCTTCGGCCCACCCCACCAGCGAGCAGGGTCCCTGCAAAGGCAGTGCCTTCCGAATTCCCTGAGCCGGGCAGGGAAGGATTTTCCGAAGCATCCCAGGAAGAAACTCAATGTGAATGTTAGGCATCATCCCCGAACAGCCTTCTTCTACGCATGCGCCTGCTGCAACCGAGCGGCCGGGGTGAGGGGGGCAAGCTCCTCGCTTCCCATTGGCTGGCCGGAATGACTGACAGGCTTTCCTAGGGGGAGGGGTAAGTTCAGAGATCCTAGAGTAGCGGACCCACGCGGCGTCTGACACCGACGCACATGGCGGCCTCGGTAGACTGGGCCACGACTGCTGCCGGCCCCGCCCCCCGGCTCTGATTGGCCGGCGGCGGGCGGCTGGAGCAGAAAAGCCGAGGTCCCTCACTGGCCTTTTTAGTGGTTGGCGGGGTGAGCGGCCGGTACTAGGGATGCAGCAGTTCTGGTGGGAGGTGGAGAGCCCGGCGGAGCGGTGGCTGCTGGCAGCGCTAGGCTGCGGCTTGGGGGGCCTGGGGCTGGTGCTGGCGCTGGTGCTGCGCTGCGTGCAGCTACCCTATGGCCGCTACGCCTCGCCGTCTTTCGGGCCCGGCCTGCCTGCCCGCGCCGCCTGGTTCGTGCAGGAGCTGCCTGCGCTCCTTGTGCCGCTCGTCCTCAGCAGCGGCGCCGCCCGCCTGCACCACAGTCCCAACCGCGTCTTGCTGGGTCTCTTCCTGATGCACTACCTGCACAGGTAGGTGTCCCCGGGGAACTGCCACATGCCTGGGCTGTTTCAGCTCCCCCTGTTAGCTTTTTCATGCCATCGGCAAGCCAAGCAGGAGTAATTGCCTGAGCCTGTCTCTGTCTCCCCGTCCTTGTTGGCTGAAAGCCCTTTTGAGATTAGTGAGTGGTGATGGGGGGGTATTCTCTGCGCAAATGCGGAAGTATTGGAGAGTGGCTGTAAGTTACAGCTTTCTTGGTGTGTTTTAGGGTGATTGCAGGTTCTGTGTCTATGGTCCATGGGTTTCTTGTGTATATAGTGGTTTTTATTTTACCATGTTGGATATTGATTGTGGTTTCCAAAAAGAAAATACTGGTGTTGGTGCTCAAGCGATTAGTCTCATGAAGGGGTGATGATTGTTGAATTTTTGGTGGAAATCAATTGGAGACTGCAGGGTTGTGGTCCAAATGATGTTATGTACGTATCTTTGGTGTAGTAAGGGTTTGATTCTAGAATTCTTCTAGATTGGCATATGGTGGGGCCACTTTGGTGCCCATAGTGTTACCAGATTTGCCTGTCACTTTAGTGTGCGCTCATTTATTAGGGGTATGTTTCTGGGGTCTCTGCAATTCCATCAATGTGCTGCTCATGTCACTTGTGTTCCTATATGAAGCTGTAGCTCTCGCTTCTGCTAGTCCTCGCCCCCAGTGGAGCTGTTTTTTCAGGATCTGGTTTCAATAGGGCTGGGTTCCTCCTGCCACCAAATCAGTCAAACATATGCCCGTGCACATGCTGCCTAACCAGACATGCCTGAGCCAGCCCAGGTTAATCAGCACTGATGGGCCAATGCCCTCATACGCCTTGCACCCAGTTCATCAGAGCAAGAATAAGATGCAGTCAGATACTAGCACACTAGTTAACAGAGCGCATCTGAGGTCAGACCAAGATATTCAGCATTGACAGGCTGACACCCTCATGTGCCTTGACCTCAGTTCATCTTTTATTTGAACAGGATGGTAATGCATGCCTAGAACTGCATTTTAACAGAGTATGTCTGAGTAGGCTGGGTCTGATCAGCACTTTCAGTTGATACCCTCATGAGCCTCAAAACTCAGCAAGTCACAATCTCTTGTCACCAGTGGTCCTAGTAAGTAATAACTCCCTTGATGAGCAGACCCCACCATAGTTCTGGGCATTACAGGGATCTTTGGCTTGGGTCAAATGGGGAGGTCAAAGGGAAGGAAGACTAAGTGAGGTTCAGAGAGAGTATAGCAACAAGCTTGACCATAAGTTATTACTACTTTTCTTTTATTGCCAGGTACACGAAGTTATGATGATACCAGTAGTAATAGCCATACAAGAGAGGCAAATAAAACAATTGCAATATGACATGGTTTCAACTAAGTATTTGGGGAAGTCTGGTTCAAGTTTGATCAGCAAAAGGCTGATTTAAAAAGCTGTGCCTGGAGTAAGAAAGTACAAGTCAGATTCTTGGAGTTTAGGGGGGTGGGGAAGAGTGGTGAGGCCCCAACTCCCTCAATAAAGCTTGAACCAGTTGAGGTTCCCAAGTGTTCGTTGGAGCTTGCAGACAGGCAGAGTCCTCAGCAAGATCAGTGGAAGGATTCCAGGCAGAAAAGGAGTGGAACTGGTGCAGCTTTTGGATTTGGGCACCAAGACAGAAACTTGAGCCATTCTTAGTTCTCTACAAAACCCCCAACCAAGTTCAAGGGAGAACACTGGGTTTATTTATGGGTAAATGATGGCTCATGCTGGATAATGGGAACTGATCATTCCTAGCAATGGGTGGCATTATTCTGAGGAAGCTTGCAATACAGATGGGTAGATTGAGTTTTTGGGGAACCAATAGAAGAGTCATTACTAGAACTGGTCTAATAAATGCTGAGCTGGATGTGTGTAGATGTGGGTTGATTTTTAGCATTTGGAGTTGCTTCACTCCTATCACCCTTGTCTGGAGGGCTTTAGGTGAGTCTATTTCATCTTTATTGTCTTCTGTAAGTCCTTCCTCTAATTGGTTCAGGCAGAGGTGGGGAGGGGGTGAGTCCTTGGTGAGTCAAACAGGCTGTGTGCTATGCCAGGGTTCCCCAAGAATGCATTGCTGAGAGGTAACAATAACTGTACCCATGGTCTGGAGGAAGTGTTTGTTGTTGAAAACGAAGCTGTTGTATATGAGTTCAGTGATATCCTGTGCTCTTTACTCTGAGTCATAATATTGTTTCTGTAGGTACATTAGGCAGGCTTGGATGCCATCCTGGTGTGGGATGTTGGTATATAAGCTAGTGACTTCTCCAGTGATACCCTTCTAGCCACTGTGAAGGTGGTCTTATGTTCTTGAGTTTTTGCAGGAAGTCTGTTTTGTCTTGGATGAATCTCCATCTTGGGTGGTGAGCAGTTTTTAAAATGGATTCATGGAAACCTGATATTCTGTTTAGGGTTCCATAGCTTTGAAGTGATAGGTTTGTTGGGGTTTCCTTTGTGGATATTAAGGAGTGTTTGGTATGAAACTCATTCATTTGAGCCCTACTTCTGTGGGCAAGGAGAACTCTGATTAACCACGGGCACCCATCCAACAAACAAAGCTTCTGACTGACTACAAAATATCTACTAAGCACAAAGCAATTAATCAACTAGGGTTTCATAGTTTCTAGGGTCGGAAGGGACCTGACTAGATAACCTAGTCTGACCCCCTGCTATGGCAGGAAAGAGTACTGGAGTCAAATGACACCAGCAAGGTGTTCATCTAACCTCCCTCTTGAAAACCCCCAGGGTAGGAGCCAGCACCACTTCTCTTGGAAGTTGGTTCCAGATCCTAGCTGCCCTAACTGAAGTAGCACCTCCTGATATCTAGCCTAAACCTACCCTCTGCCAGCTTGTGACCGTTATTTCTGGTCACTCCTGGCAGTGCTTGGGGGAA